TGAAAATGATGTTCAACATTTCTCGAACGTTCTTATCGTTTGCAGTGCAAAGATCTAGTTTTTTCGTGTAGCTCTCTAAACAACACAGAAAGAGGAAGTAGAAATCTCGTATTTTATTATACACTCTTTAGTCCTTCAATACGGTCAAGATCTTATATTCCTTTCTCTTAGGCTGTTGTGTTTCTTTCGTGTACACTCGTATATGTTTATTTATATTTTTCTTTTATTTAAAAGAGTAAAGAAAGGAAGCACATTTAACGGAACAAAAGGCGTTGAGTATATGTGTATAACTATATAAACGTAATTAAATATTGGGTTTTGAAAATATGTACTGATATACGAGTGTGCGCGTTATTGGAAGAAAGAATTAATCTTTCAACGTGTATTTTAATAAACATTGTTATTTCTGTAGTTACATATAAAAACAATTTAAAGCAGTGGTATTCTTATAAATAATTTAACAAAAAATCGAAGATTACTAATGGATTAATTTGAAATTTAATATGGCGGATGAAAATGAACATGATTTGAATACCATTGATTTGAAATTCCATATTTCGAGCTTTTGTGTTATTCGGTGGGAATCATGTGATGTGCACATGAATTTGTAAGATATATGAATATAAAACGTTATCTTACGCTTTATACGCAGGACGTTTCGCGTCGTGAGGGAAAGACGATAGAATTTTTAAGTGTTTCTCGTGTTTTCATTTCAAATCTTGTAAATGAAAGTTTAAAAGAAAACCCCAATTTTTGTAAGCTGGGGACGAAATAAAGTGCACAGAGCAGCGCCTGTGATTTAACCTTTTTGATGCATTAACTGCGCCTAGCATACGCAAAATCTTTGACAATATTTAACATTTTCTTTAAGTTTTTTCTTGCATCAATAAAATAAAGAAAAAAAAAAAGAAAATTCAAAATATACAACCAAATTTATTGGACACATTTAGTTTTTTTATTGGTAGAATAAAAGTGAAAAAATTTGAAGTTTGGTTTTTCTAATGCTTTAAAAAAAATGAATCTCATGTTGCTATTGTTCTTTACTAAATGATGTTATAGATCATTCGGTAATATTTAATAGCATTTTTTGAAGGTACGTAAGATATATTTTATATCTTTTATAAACGTTAGTACGTTGAACATTTTTGATATATATTTTACTGCCAAACGCGATAAAGATTTCTCAAAAGAAGGAAGAAAAATGGTGGTTGAGAGAAAGGATGCGCAAAACAAAAAGATCTCTGAAGATCGATGACATTGCATGTTGTCCGTTCTTTACTTGTGATACGATCGACCAGGCAAAAAAAGAGGTTTAGAAGATGGAAAAAAGTTTATATCAGTTACCCAGTGAGAGAAGTATATCGTAGTTTTGTCGCAAATATGCTGTTAAGTTTTTCGCTACCGGCATGGACGAACGAGTCTGCGTGTACATATCATATTTTCCGAGGAAATTAATTTTTATATCGCAAATGAATCCTGGATAGATTTATATTTTGTACACTACTTTTTTTCTGTTTAGGTTTATATAAATATATACATAAATGTAATCTTATTTTGTATTTATACGAATGATACATACACGTGGAATTTATTCAGCAATACTTTATTTTACACACACGGTACACGCACACGTTATACACACATACATTGCGCGCGCATATATTTATTACTTAAAAAAAGTCGTAACGTTGTATTATTGTTATGTACGAAACTCGAAAATTTTGTTACGTTAGCGTTCGAAAAAGCTATTCGATTCAATGATTTTCACTTTGTATTGCTATATTGCTGGATATTATAATTATTTAAAAAACGAATGTATAAAATTCTTTATTCCTTCTACCTTTCACTTTCTCAATTATTATGAAATATTTGCAACTTCATAATTAACAACAATTTGAAGATTAATAGATTTATGTTACCATATGAGTATGTAAGGTTTAAGTAGTAAAATAAAATTCTGAATAATATAGGTTTTCAAGTATATGGTTTATTCTTTGTACAATATTACGATATGTTTACATTATAATATGGCGCATAAATAATCTGTTATTCCTACATATAATTCTACTCATATCGCTTCGAATATTTCTTAACGCAGAATACGAATTTACACATTTTTTTATTCCTACGTTAATAACTTTCATGAGACTTACTACGATATGCATGAATAAGTACGATATGTGTACTATACAATATGAAATAAGTATTTTACGTTTCACTACTTTTGTCAATTACCTTTTTTCATGAACTTTTTTACGTACAATGAATCTTCTACAACATAATTTTGTTCCTGTAAATAATTCTTTAAAAGTTTCCTTCTCACGTATTAGAATACGATGTATATTTATTACAATGTACAAATTAGAAAATAATCATCATTGAAACAATTCTCTGGTAACAAAAACTTCTCTATAATATTCCGTTAACATAAGTGTAATATCTCGAAAAAAAAGAAATACATAATAAAGACATTACAGAAATTACACATTTACAGCAGCATTCATTTAATTATTTTCATCTCACTACTTAATTTCAATATATGTATATATTTATTATACATGACAGAGAATTCATTTTTGTTTCAAGACTGTATGTATGCATGTATGTAACAAACTACTAAGGTTTTTTTACTCTGGCATGGTGCTCTATTAATTCTACATTATATCTATAGTTATTTAATTACAATCATCTTCGTCTGTTTGCTTACATATACATATATCGTGATAGTAGAGCGGAAAATAAATTTATCTACATTGCACTTCTAATACAGAAATACAAGCTTTGTTGACAGTTATTTAACAAATCGCTATATATAGCGGTATTTTCTTTTAAGTTAAAAATGGTGATTTCTCTTGATTGCAACTTCGAAACGTGGATTCGATTACGTAAATTCTCAGAAATTACAATTTGCAACATCTTAGAATATTAGTTTCTTGAAACTTTACTTTCTATTCCCTGTTTTTTATTTTAAGGTACTAAAGTATAAAGTACAGCAGAAAAGATGCACATACAAACAGAATACTTACATTATATATTCAGTTTGTGATAACATGAAATGTCCCCCTTTTTTATGCTATAAGTTGTTTGTTGTTACTTATAAACGTCTTAATTAACATATAGTAATTTGTTCATTTTTCTCCATATTCAAACACATTTCGATATTTAATTATATGCTTAAATCTTACATGGTACTTCGTTTAAAAGTATATCAAAATCGAAAGGCGCAAATCGACAGTGTTTGTTAAAGAATCAAACGCACTGTAACTCCTTAACATTAAAATACGAATTTGTCTTTCATTGTAAAAAGCATGATTGATTTGCCGCGTCATACGAAGTGCATGTACGGGTTTCCTGTTTCAAACCTTTTTCTTATTAGAGTGTCGCCATAACTGCAACTGTTATCATTCTATTACATGTATTTATAAAATACCTATATATACATATACGTACACGTATGTAATGCAGATAACATAATAGATAATACCTGCCCGAGCTGCCTCTATTCTGTCGCACACTTAAATATTTGGTGCTGTTTTTAACTTAAAATATATTTAACTCACGGGGAAGTTGAAACTTCTCCTTACAGATGGTAGATGAAAATTATGAAATGTTCATTCCATAAAAATCAAGTGGAAAAAAGATATGGTTACCAATTAAGAGTTACTATGAAATACATAATACTGCTAGAAATTTGTTTTTATCCAATTTAATGAATTTTCAATATTACTGTTTTTGTTTTTCATTTCTGTAATATTGAAAATATCATTAGAAACTTATAATGCATACATATGTCAGCTCTCACATTGCATACATGCTTGGTAAATGGTGTGATAATTTAATATAATTACTCTTAATACGATGACACATACTAATCTTTCCTTTTATTAAATAAAAATAAAACATAATGAAAATATTGAAATATATAAATTATTATAATAATTCATACCAGCCTTATAATTTGTTCAATTTATACAGACCACCTCGAACATTTAATTACATTAACATATTGACAAAGGATAGATATACATGATTTTATTTATTTAAGTTTAATGATTTTACTCATTTAAATTAAGGCAGAACAAAATAGTCATTTTTATTATTATTATTATTAATATGAAATTTTACAATTAAACATCTTTGCCTCAATTAGAGATATATAAGATAAATAACTAAAGATATTTTTTATAATTAAATCAAATATCATATCAGTTCCAGAATTACATTGTTCTGTTTTTTTTCATACACTTTTTGCAATAAAAAATATTTATAATTTAAATAACTGTACTTGAAATATGAAAATGCTTTTACATGTTCTAGAGTACAATAGAAAAAGATTTGCACATTTGCACTTTTATTAACAAAGAAAGACTTTAGAATAATCTGTATAAAAATCTTAGAAATAATATATAGGAATTAATGATCATTTATCCGCAAAATTATAGTTATGCGATGGAAAACTTGATCATTATATAATACTTGATCATTCATCTCAAAATACCTTAAAATCAATAACTAATCAAAATTGATACTAATCAATAATGTGCCCAAGCATGCAATTATTTTCTTCATAGGTGCTATTTTCCTCCAGCACAGAAGACCACTTGAAATTTTTGTTATTTCATTTATATAGTTTGTGTGCGTGTATGTAATCACAATATATCGCTTAAAACAATTTTTGGCCAAGTTTTATTGCAAAATGTATGAAGATATAAATAATAATAATATACCAAAAATATTAGTGAACGCCTTGATAATATAAATCATTTGATTAAAACAAATATCACTTTCAATAATAGTAAGAAAAATAAATGCAAGCAAGTAATAAATTACTAGCATCTAATATATATACATATAAATGTATATGTACATACAGTATATAAGAAATAAACGTAATAAATAGTAACTAAATCAAAGCTGCAATTTTTATATAAAAATAATAATTGATGATACTCATTCTTTGACTAAAGATCAGGCAGTGTCTGAGCCTATGATCGTATTAATTACTCGTACGTTTTTTAACTTTTTGTTACTGGAATCTTTGCCTAAATCTTCATAAATGAAGAAGTATCAAACTTTATTTAAGTACTCCGGTATTGTTTGCTATTTTCGAACGGCAAATCTCATTTTTAACGTCGGCCAAATACGATAATATATTGTTGATGCAGGCACAGTAATAAACTCTAACAAAAAGTTATAAATGCTAGCAGATTGAGTAATTCATATTAAAAATATTGCTTGTCACTTTACTTTAAAAGTAAGCAATAATGATTGTGGCTTTTGTCACTTTACTTTAAAAATAAGCAATAATAATTGTGGCTTTGTTGTAATGTTTCACAGGTAAGAAACGCAACATCAATGCTACCATTGTAATAATGGTATGAAAAGTTAATTAACAAATGTAAAAGGAATGATGTAAACATACTACATAAAAAATATTTATAGTTATATAATATACATAACACATAATTTTATAATAAACTGAATGGAGCAATGGTCCCAAAATTGTTACTATGAGAAATTGGAAATTGGTAACCCACGAACGAATTAATCAAGTTTCAGTCAATTTACGAACCTTGTTTTCGTCGATAAGATGTTTCATACATCCTATATCAAAGTGATAATTATGTCCAATACATGTTGGTGTAACAAGTAGACTATATATAAAAACCATTCACTCTTATACATGTGTACGTTTTTCTCCATAAATGTATCAAATGGTGAGGACAGAAAAAGAAGAAATTAATCACCTAGAGAACAACGTCGGGCAGGGAGCAATGCCACTAGGCTAATTGCGTCCCACTTCGTCCACCATGATGTCCCATACCAATCATAGAACCGCCGCCACCGACATCATCGCGAACGATTTTTCTTTCTTTGTAATAAATTTCTTCGCTTTCCTTATCGCATAATAACAACACTGCTCCACCAAACAAAAATATAGCTGCACCCCAACCAACTCCGTATGCCCAACCAAATTCCCACATTGATCGGTTTCCTGTATAATATAATTCTTATCATATAAAATATTTAAAAAGGTGGAATTGATCATTTGGTAGGAATTTTAAAATATATATTTTAGAGATATACAAACTTACCAAAGTTAAGTTCTGCAGCAAAACACACTGGGTATATTACTAAAGCTATTAAGAGTGATACCACTAAAATATAAGAAAAATATAGATGTACTTTACAAAAATATATACACTATACATACATATATTTATATTACAAAAATACCATACATATATTTACTGTTTTAAGTAATGAATCTTACATGCAAATCCCATGCAGAAGACTGCAAATCTATAATATTTATGTTTGTCACGATTATCTTGTGACCTCAAACCAAGACCAGTGAGGATCGTTGCTGCAATATCTGTTATTAGACATACGACACATAAGGCAGCAGCTGCTTTTATATAAGCTGTAAAGATAGAAAAACTAAATTAATTGCTTAAAGAATTCTACCAAATATAATTATTTTGTTTGAACATACCAACGTCTCTAGCTTGGAAACATCCTGCCGAATCTGGCACATTAAATGGGAGAGGAGTAGGTGCTGCTTCTTCAATGCAATGTGCAAATAGACCTTGTCTCCATCCCAATGCCATTAACCAGTCGGTAGAGGCTAAACCCATTATCATTAATAATATTACTATTATTCCACATATGAATGCTATCACCTGTAACATAAAAACAAAATTGCACCTTTATCATTTAATTCAGAAAAGTATATTTTCATCACTAATTCTGTACTACACAATACTATAGAATTTTAACTCCAATATTATTTAAACCTCTCAGAAGGAAAACTGATCAACTGCACTTTCTGAACTATGTAAGTTGAGCTTCTCAAAGTACAAATACAACTTCTATGTATACATTTTCAGATTTGTTTCAAACTTGACCAATATAATTATGATACTAAAGTGCCTTTACAAAATTGATAAAATTTCAAAATACTTTGTATAATACATAATATATTTATAAAAAATTTCTACAAGTGTTCAAATACTTTCATAAACTACTGTACATAAACAATCAATCATTACACAAAGTACTCATTATCACCTCTACAAACTTATAAAAAAGACATCCCGAATATACCTGTGCGATCTCAGTATCGCCCATGTGATCTTCCGCGACTGTATACATGATCATCGTAAATCCAGCGTACACTGTTAAGATTAGTCCCAACGAACAAAACCAAAATGCACCTATCTAATTAAGAGGGTCTCGAACTCTTCACACTTTCTTTGGTCTCTTCAACGAATACCATTTACGGGACATCGTACACTCCTCCGCACATCACCCTCAACAGACGTCGAGAAAGCATTTAGAAACGATTCAGAGACATGGAACTCTCACAAAATGACAAACACTTCCAGGGTAAACACAGCTCGCGTTTCCCGTATATATACCTTTGTTCGATACGAATGAAACAATAATTTTTCTAATCAAGTTCCCGCTTCGAACGCCACGCGAAGTACATTTTGTTGGTAGAGCTATCTCCTTTGTTTCTATATTGGTTTATTCACTAAAAAAAAAAATGGAAAAATATCGTTTGGCTAGCAAGATCGAATAGAGACAATCTCCATCCGAAGTTGGGGGAGTAATTGGGTTCCAGGGAAGCTGCGCCCATTAAAGGTCGTGGCGCAGTGCGCGTACGTGATAGAGGGTGCTTTTTAGGATAGACGAAACTTGAGACGAACGCTTCCATTTATAGAAATTTTCCTAATCACGTGACTGTACAAATAATTCAGCTTTCTTAAGTGGATATTGATATATGTATTCTATCTTTATTGATATATTGTATGTTATTAATAAAATGCGAATGTTTATACATTTTTATATTTTTAAGAACATAATTAAAAAATTTGGAGGCAAATAGAAATTCCTTTCATCCACTAAATATTATAAAGTACTATACTTTAAATATTATATGGATTTTTACACCCTTAAATTTCCCAAAAATGCATAAACATCCCCAGTCTAATTATTAGCAATAGTAATAATATAACATAGGGATTCGAAATTTAGTCATATTGATTGATATTTTTAAATCAAAATCCATTTATGATATTTTGATCAATTCGTAATTTAGAATAATTTTTAATGTTTTATAATAATATATCTGTAATTATAAATATTTTGAGAATATAAGATAAGATTCATACAACATATTAAGGTTAAAAATAAATTAAAACATTTGAAACTTACTTTGAAAGGTCTAGTAATAGTGATTGTTTCAATAGTGGTTGCTTGTGGCATTGTTTGTGTCTATAAGTGTATCTGAAAATAAAATTAATTCATAATAATAAAAAAAAATGAAAACAATAGTACTAATAGAATAAAATTGTAAGTAAGTAAAAGTAAGTAAGGAATCAAAATAATCATTTTGTAAAAAATATAAATAATAGAAGAAATGAATAACCATTTATAATGATATGTTAAATCAGATAAACAAAGTAAAGATCATTGTAGTAAATTTTTTTCATCTATTTTATATTTATTTTTTATACATAATATATTTTACAAAAATGGAAAGTTTACTTTCTAAAATCACCTTTTACAACTTTATTCAGTATGTGTACAGCTTTTAAAATATTTTATATTTTAATCAGTATAAACTTCTTAACACATTGCAGTAGAAGCTTCTATCTAATAATATAACTTGAGTTAACTAACATAGTAAACTATACTTGTTATAAATTCCAGAAATAGAAAAATATTATACACTGAGTCAACCTGTTCATGTATATCAACCATAAATTGTTGGTTTTCTAAAAGATTAACACATCTTAACAATCATCAATTCTGTTCTAAAAGCAAACCACTTGTTATTATGAGAGTGGCATGATTCCTTAACAAAATTATATTATTTACCAAGTCCAATGTGTCACAAGAAAAAATAGAAGTTTCAACTATTTTTTAAATAATATATATATTAAATTATATTTTATTAGGAAGCCTACAAAATTCAGACTATTACAAATATTTTAAATAAAACTTTTTTTTAAATAGATGGATAACTAATAGTTTTCCAACACTTCAAACTTTTCATTTTAAAATAATTTTCTGATAAAATGTATTTTTCTTAGTTGAGTCACTCTTCTAGGAAACAAACAGGGTAATAAAGATTTGCAATATCCTATATCACTGACGTCCCGCACAATGCGCATATCATCAGTAGTGCACTACTTATCCGATGAAAAATAATTTTTCATCTTAACAAAATAAGACACTTACAAATGATTGGTATATTCACCCTATAACCTTATCAGTCACTGCACACACATCGAACATTTAATAAATAGATGTGAGTTTAGAGTTTGCTAGCTTAAGAAAAAGTTGTGTATAAATATAAAATCCGATTCAACGATAAAAACAATAATGTGATTCAATCTTAAGGGTTATGTCACTAGAAATGTCAACACAAGTTTCAACAATACATTTACTATATGTATACTGAAGTATATTCTGGTACTACTGATATATATACAATAAAGGAACACAGATAGACACAATGAATAATCGCTTGGAGAGCTTGTAAGGGACGAACACTCTTATTGGTCCTCCTTCTGTTGTGATTTGTAACCTCGACACTGATTGGCATTTCCATCCATTTTCTTAGGTTATGTTGTCAAAGTAGCTATATTAAAAATTAACATTAAAAATTGATATAATTAAATTGCTATATTAATTTTCAGTGCTCTAAACTTTATATATTTCTAAAAATGTCTCTTAGCATCTTATTATGTCTAAACATATACATATAATAAATCCAATCTGTTTCATAAGTTATTTTTATCAATAATATTAAATAAACATTAAACAATAAGAATAACAGTAATGTTAGGTAATAATATAATATAAAGATAATATTAATTAATAAAGATAATGCAATAAATTCTTTCGTAATTGTTGTTTGTATACATAACACGAATGAAAATATTTAAAATAATATTCTATATTTATATTTATTTTAAATATTTTATATTTACAATAATTTTATATTTAACAATAATATAAACATTTATTTAAACACTAATTATATGTATGAATATGTTGTGAATCGACAAGTTTTTTAAAACTCACGTATATTCATGTGGAACTTTTGAATTATAAAATATGTTGCATTAAATACAATGAAATTTATGAAATTAAAGATATCATGCGCAATCTAATATGACAATTGCATTTAATGACATATATCTCAATTTGTATGTAACAAATTAATGCATGTATATAAAAAATATGCTACATGCAATTTAGTAATTAAAAATAGTAAATTATACCAATCATATGATATAACATTATTATATTACATTATAATGTTTACTTGAAATTTTCAATACTTATTGTGTTCTAAGTAAAAAAATTGAAGTAGTTTATTGACAATTTAATACAAGACAAAATTTTGGAAAAGGTTGATAGTACAAATCTGGTTGAGCATGTGAAACATGTGCATCTTTCTAAATATGACGATGACGTCAGTGAATGACGTCAGCACCATTACACGCTTCTTTAAACTAACACATAAACCTATCTACATTATACATGTGAATATCGTTATATATCAAATCTAGATTTTATGTCATTTGATGTTTCAAATGTTTATACATATATCAACATCAGTTAAAGAAATTATTCAACTAAAATTAGAGGAAAGAACATAACTGAACATATATAAAAGCTGTGATTAGTCTTAAAGAATTTCATTATTTCAATATCTATATCTTAAACAAATAAATGTAGCTGATTTGTGAAATCATGTATACTTGAAATGCGATATCATTTTTTACGACGCCTGAGTAATTTCAACATTCTTTCATTAGAATACTGATAAAAGATTGTTTTCATGATTAAATACATAGACTGTGCTATAAAATCATATAATAATTGTAAATTATTATGTTACATATAGAATAAAAATAATTAACTAAATTTTGATAATTTTTCTGATTATTCATAGATCAAAAAACAACCAACAACATGTTTCATTATTATTACAGTTAATAATAATGTTTCAACATTATTGCAGTAAGGCTAACTGTGAAATTACTATGCCCATTTAGATATACATATGAAGATTATAAGTGAAAAACATGATAAGTCACATTTCCTACCTTTTATAAAAGAGCAGTTTTAAAATTCGATGTGTTGTCAATCAATTAAACACTAAAATTTTCTTTAAAAATATTCTTAAACATTCCAAAAATATTAATAACAATATGCAGATTAATATTAATTAATTTAAACTAACATCCTAGTTTTATCACTAATTTTTGAAAGGCTTGCATCTTCGAACCTATCAGATTATTCCTTTTTCTAACTATTTTATATTAAAATACTATTTTTTAATTTAAAAATAAACAAGTAACATAAAGATTAGAAAATTAACGTGTCATATTTTTTCTCTGTAGTCTTCATAACGAATCGTAGTTGCAATAAAAGATAATATTTAAGAAAACGAAGTTAGTATTGAATACTAAGCAAGATACAGTTTATAAAATATAAAATATACATACATATAATATATATGTAAATTATATAACATTAATATAAATTTGATGTAACGCTTTTTATATAAAAAAATTTGTGCATTTAATAAATTAATACTTTTATTAACTATAATAAATGTTTCAATAAAATCAAAAACCAACACTATTATAAACAAATATATATTTCTGAAACACCTTTTGCCCGATTATTAATAAATATGCCACTGTATATGAATCGCAGTTTGATAACTGGTAAGTCGAAAGTAATATTTAAGGAAACGTAGCTAGTATTTGATGTGAAGCACATATGTAGGAGAGCATCGTCCATCACCCATCACTATCCGATGCACGATCAGTTTTTTGAGGGGGTGGAGGGAAAGCACGTCGGCCATTTTGATGGTGACGCGCAGCGCGGAGGTCGTGGGCTCCACCAGTGACGAAGCCACTGGAGTTTTGACGTGGCTGCTACGTACCTGCCCGTTTGCCCACTCCGATTGCAGCAAAGTTGGTGACGAGAAATACGTAACTGGTAAGTACCCAGCTGGAGAATAATAACAACCGGGCATGGACCACTGCGCTAACGGTGCATCGAAAATTGTTGCCGAAACTACTAGCATTTGACTTTTCATGATCCTAGTACAATCAGTTTTACGTCTGCTATGGAATATGCCGTAAAATATGGCGCCTTAAGGAAGATGTATGAATTTCTCGAAAAGGGCAATGGGGGTTACGTGACAATTCTGACATCTCTTTTCACCAATAACCGACTCACCGTGATGCCAATCGGTACAATCTTAACCATGTTTCATCGTGCTTTTTTATTAATTTTCTGACCCTTCGATCATCCACGAAAACATCTCTTTTAAGTGTTTATTGTTCTCGTATTATTTTTAGATCTGCTTATGTAAATGACGCAGTAACACCGCCGATCGCTGACTGGCGGGAAATTTAAAACTTTTGCACTTTAACGGATAGATCCTGATTTTGACTTGAATACACACAGGTTTTCGAAAACCTATTTGTTCCGACGATGTTTATATTTAGTCTGGAATTCGTTTCGTAATACTTCAACTATGCATATATATTTGACTTTTTTCAAAAAATATTGTCTACGGTTTCTGTGTAGTTTTGTTTTCATTAAAATGCTTAAAAGATCACTGAGGAGGTTAAATGTAATCTTAATGAGATGTATACGATGTTTATTCTTAATAGGACGATTCGATTAAATGTAAAATTTTTTGTTGTGCAACAATTTCATCATTTAGTGTATCAAAAAATAGATTTAATTATCAGTGATAAAAGTTGAAAGGTTTGATTATACAGTATATATAAATGCAATTATAAAAATATACATAATTATGAAATTATTTTCCATCTTTTGTAGGGTTTGAGGTCCCCAGGCTATGGAAAGTATGGTTGAGGAAAATGGATCAGCTGTTGACCCATTGTCTACGGGTTCTCAAAGTGGCGATGCAGCACCAGCGATAGCTACATCGGTACAATCTCTCAATAGAACACAGCAGCAAACTCATCATCTGGTAGCTTCTACCAGCATTGTGCAACTGACACTACCTACGTCAGGGGCAACACAGGTATACAGGAGAATCTCCTGTGTATCTATGTCTGATCATTTATTTCTTTATTTTAGTTCAAAGCATGCATATATAATTTATTTATGTTTTTAATCATAATTATGAATTAATTAAATAAGCACTGTGTGTATATTCACTCTTGCATAATGCTGGTTCAAATTAAGAAACTAAAATTCAAATTTAGTTTTCTTAATTAATTACTTCTTTATTTGTTGATTCAATGAATTTGGTGTTTCAATTTTTATGATAAATATTTTTATGAAATAGTTGTTTCATACCCACTTTATGATGACTTGCATATGCATGATGATATCAATCAATTATAAAATTTATTATATTTGGTTCATATTAAAACATTTTATGAATATTCATATTCATTTATTCAGTAATATCTATTCTTTAACATGCATAACATTTTATACATTTATGTATAATGTTTATTTACTCATTTAGGTACAGTCTGTTATACAACCTAATCAACAATCAGTAATTCAAACTGCAACGAACATTCAACCTGTTGCTATTTCAAAAGGAAATGTCATACTTGTGAGCAAACCCAACTCTGTCATACAAACAGCCCAAGCAAGTTTACAAACACTTCAGGTAAATATCTCGAGACCAAGTTATACTGTTAATTTCTTCTCATCTTCCTTTAAATGAACCATTTATAAGTAGATATAAAATTTGAATATACATGACAGCATTTTATATATATTAAATATTAAAAATAAATAATAAATAAATAATATTCAATAAATATAATAAAATATTATATTGTACATTAATGTATTAGGTGGTTGAAACTGGTAGTGATGATAGTTTCTCAGATTCAGAAGAATCTCCAGAACAAAGGGGAGGAATTCTTACCCGACGACCTTCTTACAAAAAAATTCTCAATGACTTAGGTGGTGGTGAAATTACAGGTATGATAAATTTATTTTTATCACATATCAGGAATAGAATTAAAATCAGAACGAACATTTCAATTTTTAATAGAATATTTACAAGAAGTAACAAGTTGTCATCTAGATATTTTATTACTTTAATTAAACTTACATATAAATTTATTAGTTCATTTATACAGGATGACCAAATAACATGTAAAAGCGGATATAACGCGATTCCTTGTAGAAAAATAAAAAAAACTACATCAGATAAAATTTTTCCATTCATGGCTTAATTTTCGAGAAAATTGAGTTTGAAAATTTACGAAGTATACTTGAATTTGGCTAATTCCGGACTGGACAAGACTAAATCATTGACAGGAAGTCATTTTATATGTAAAAATAAGTTGAAAATGTAGAATTAAGGAAATAGAGTTTGAGCATATTTATTTAAGAATCGACCTAGTACATTTGTATGATAAATTTTCAAATTATTCATTATTTTTCTTAGAAACAAAGCGTTTTGCTAAAAAACTTTACTTCTCGGGTCGATTATTTTGTTTTTGTCCAGTTTGGAATTACTCATGTTCAAGTATATTTGATAAATTTTCAAACTCAATTTTCTCGAAAACTAAACAGAGAATGAACAAATTTTATTCCATATCTTTTTCTTATTTTTCTGCAAGGAACCACATCGTGCTTACTTTTATATGTTATTCGGACTGATGTATATATGTATATGTGTGATATTATTATATTCACCTTTTCATTCTGTCTTCCATATCTTAAAAAATACATTGACTCTCAGAAAATGATAAAGTGCATGTCAGTTCATACAACTATTGTTATGTACTGTCTACGTATTTCTTAAATAATTATTCCAATTAGTTATTATCTTATTAATTTACTTTAAATCTGAATAAATGCATGTATAATCAATCTGTCTTATAAGTCATTCTTTATCAAACAAATATTTAAGTATATTTATATAACTGTATTAGGATAATAAGGGATAAAAATGTGATACTTTATGCTTCTTAATATTTTATTTTATACATCTGAGAAAGGGAATGCCATACCAAGCTTAGAATATAAGTTAAAGTTTAAGTTAATAATATTAAATCAAAAACAATGCAATGAACTCTCCTCTAACCAATATAAATAATTATAGATACATGATATGAAGGAAAATTATTTATTTTTATTTAAATGAAATCCCGCTTATGTTTATTTATTTGGTACCAATAACATGAACTAAAAAGTAACTTTTTTATAATTTAAGGTAAATACACAATTAATTTGATTAAAAATATCTAGTATTCTCAATATATCTATTTGTAGATAATTAGTCAATTATAAATTTTATAGTTAAAGTTAAAGATATTTATAACTAAAATTTAAAAAATTATTAAAATCAACAAGACACATTTGTTATTTTTAATAAAGTTTCATTTTGTTCAAAAAATCGAATATTAAAAAATTATTTGTTCTATTTATACTTTGCAAGACTGCATGTTTTTATTGCTTAGCTTTTATTTTTATTTTAATCTATTTCCTTTTTGTATGAGCTGACTGCACAGCATTATAATAAAAATATGAAAACAGCAGTCAGAAAGGAAATAGCATACAATTATATTTTATTTTTATTATACTTTTTATTTATACAAAATCATCTTTCTGGATGCACATCTTTTTAAACATACACGTATGTACAATTACATGCTTTTATGCAATCAGGAAAGTTATTTAAGAAGAAATGTACCAAATATTAACCAAATTGTTTTGGTATCATTGTTTCTAGAAATGAATGCCATATTCATTATATTATTTTCTCATGAAATACATGTCACATTCTGGAAATTTTTCAAATTGATTTAGATTAAATAAATTAACACCGATAACAACTCTATTATAATTGGGGGTTGTATTAATTCGGTGTTACAGACGGTCGATTGCCCCCTCTAGAATCATCTTCTGAGTGTGATTCTAACGTGGACAGTGAAGTGTCGTCCCATTCGCTTCATTATCAGACAGGTTGGTTATTTTTTCTTCTACATATCTTTCCTGGCTGTCCTTTATTTAATTCTGTGCACAATCCTAGCCATTGTCCTTTCATTTTAATGAAGATAATGTTAGGAGAGTAAATTAGAACTATTAGTCTGAAGAACTTAAAATTTTATTCCTTTCGTCCTTATACATATTACCTGATGTAATACTATATATGATTTAATATTTTGTATGATTGCTTGGTGTGGCATCCTTGCTTATGGGGTTTTCAATTCTGTTTATAAATATATATAGGTTTATCTATATATACTCAATAATATAAATAATCATTATAATTGTTAAAAAGCCATTCAGATTTATGTTTACCTTTTCTATGTGCTATCATTTAAAATAAATGATTTTTAGTACCTCTATTTAGTAAAAAATTGTGTTATATGAAATATGCTTAGTTAGATGTGTATTGTCTTTATTAATACTGTGTCAGTAATTGAGATCAATGCAATTTACAGTAATTCCTGCTGGAACCATACAAATTGCAACTCAAGGGGAAGGTGTGCCTGGACTTCATACATTAACTATGAGTAATGCAGCAACTGCAGGTGGAGCTATAGTACAGTATGCACAAGGCCAAGATACACAATTTTTTGTCCCAGGTGCGCGTTTTTTCATAGTTTTTTTAACATTGAATTTTTTAATAACTGATATATCCCTGACATTTTCTTTTAATTTTTTTTTTAAATATAAATAATTTTTGTATTCAATAGAAGTGTGCGAGTATCTGAAATTATGGATATTCATAAACCTCAGATTTTAATTAAAAACTTTCAGGATCCTAACTCAATTGTTAAAGAAATTCTGGTACTCGCTTACTTTTAGTATCTAATAATAATATTAATAACATACATAAATTTTCATTGACTGATTGTGAATAACAAAATTAAAAATTTGGGGAATACAGTCTCTGACAATGTTCCAGCTTACACAGGACATGGTGTTGTAGTAGAAGATGCAGCTAGAAAAAGAGAATTAAGGTTGCTTAAAAATAGGTAAGATTTGAAGGAACTGGAAATACTTTTAATTATAATTTTCGTAATTGTTCTTGTTTATATAAATATTTAAAAATATAAAAATACTTTTTTTATAGACAAGCAGCCCGCGAGTGTAGAAGGAAAAAGAAAGAATATATAAAGTGTCTAGAAAACCGTGTTGCGATATTGGAAAATAGAAATCAGACGTTAATAGAAGAACTCAAATCGTTAAAACAGCTATGCGAACCGAAAACTGACTGAGGTTGGTGTTTAATGTTGAAACATTGTATGAAAACTATTAATCTGCTAAAAAATTTGTACATGTCTTCTTTATGTACATTATCCTAAACATTGTTAGGTAAGCGATGGTGATGTACATGCATTCTTATAAATAAGTGTTTCTGTAACATACTGTATTTAAAATGCGAATATGAAGGCTTGTGAAACTTGCTGTTACTAAAGCGAGAAGCCAAAGGTATATGAAATGCAGAGGCAGCAAACTTATAGGCAATATTCTGGAAGTCAATCTATATTTTGGATAAACTTAACAATCATATAAATTTAGGTTATTAACGTTTACATTTTCAAAAAATGTGTTGATAACCAGACGATAATATTAACGTTTGGAATATATTCATTTAGATTACAGTGACTATGTGATGTTGAACGGAACTGTTTTACTCACACATAAATATTGTATCCATGTAGTTTCATTCTATTCGAAAAAAAATTTACATTAGTAAAAAAGTGAAAAGAATTATAAAAAACAAGAACCCGAGAGTATATTTAGTAGTCAATTTATAATAAATAATTGGTCGCTAAAAAATACACATACTTGAGGAAAACGCCTTATACACAATATTTGCTAGTGTAACTTAGAAATTAGATACAGCTACGAATTAAAATCACATAGTTTCTGCATTAAAAAAAAAGAGCATAGTTGTTAGACAATAGTATCTGTATAATTTTTTTCCAATTTCTCTATTCTTTTATACTTGAAAGAGACAGGTCCATTAAAAAAGTGCATCTATTAGAGGTGTTTGAATGAAAAGATAATGGGATGGTTGTAAATAGATAAATAGACCGAAATTCTACTACTTTGATTATTGCTGCTGCAATATGTACGTGTATAAATATAATTTTTTACTTTAAATACAAACTTCAGAACTGTATTATGAAGAAAAATATAATTTATACAATGTAGAGAAATATGCTATAAAAAAGCATTAGGCGAAATGCTCTCGTCTTATTTTACTTTCTATTTTAAGATGCCTCAAGTGCAAGAAGGTGAAGAACAGAATTTGTAAAATATAAATATAAATGTAATATATATCTGGAGTGCCTTGAAGATTTCTGTATAGGGTGATTTATAAATTCATGTCAATACTTCAGGTGATGAATCTATGCTAATCTATTTTAATGTATAGATTCACTCCCTGAAGTATTGACATGCTTTTATGAATCACCCTGTATATATATATATAGTATATAAATAAACACGCGCAACTGCGCTCACATACATACATACGTATGTATAAAATTATGTTTTAGGCAAATATGGGTACATAACAATATTTTTGAATTATATATTATGTTATAGCTTTATGTCCTGCGTAAAAATACGTACAGTTGCGTTAAAATTGAAATTTCTATTCCGATACATTTTCATATTTTTTAAAATTAAATGAAACCTTTAAATCGCTAGTATAAGCCATAAACTAAATTACATGTCGATACGATTGCATCTATTTAATGTCTAAATAGAAAATATGAAAATTTGTTACAATCAGATAATTTGCATATTATGTTTTATAATATTATTAAAAAGAAATTATTTTTTAATGTCTGACACATACTTATTATCATGCTAGGAATTATTTATCCAATGCATTTTTCCCATAAAATCAATGTTCTGTAATCTAAGTATAAAAACTATTTGATGTATAATTTTGATTGTTATATATTTATAAGAAAAATACAATTTCAAATATGAAAGATCCAGTTTGATCATTTAATGATGTAATATAAACTGTTCAACACATTTAAAAATGATATTGCTGATAATTTGAAATTATTTTATTGGTGTAATTTTGTTCCTTTTTGATTTTTTATAGGATATCAAAATATTGTTTGTAAAATAATTTATACAAAAACATACTTGTAATATTAATTTCGAACTATTTGCATACATATCATTTTTTTAATATTAATAATATATATTTTTTAAATACAATCCAGATAAAATTTACAGTTACTGATCAGACTGGAAAAATTTGTTGTATAGGTATGATGCGTAATTTGTCAAGTTTATTTGTTATCAAAACTATTCACTCTGATAATAGAAAACAAATACAGTTATAATCTTCGTACATGCTTAATATATCATTTGTAATTGAATAATTTTATTGCAAAATAGATCGTTGCCGAATTATTCTCTGTAAATTGAAAGTACAATGTACTTATAGTGACTTGTTATAAAATAAAAACGATTCACTATAAGTTTCTTTTCTCCTACAGATTTAAATCTGGTTTAATTTAGGCAAAGTAATACTGTACACATTTTCATCTGTGTTTTAATGTTAATTCTATGTATAATATATGTATATCTTGATTGCTGCACCGATGATATGAAATATTGTATATAGATAATATATGTATTTTTGCATATCATTTGTTTTTGAAAAATATAATTCATAAACCTCTTTAAAGATACTGTTATTTTATTACAAAGACGTAGAAAACAATTGAAATAAAACAGATTGAAAATTAACTGTTTAGACATTTAATCAGATATTAAGTGAACAGAAATATATATTTAAAAAAATAGTATTTATTATATATACAGTTACTTTCTTGTTAAAAGTACAAATTAGATGATACTGCTTTAGTGGATTATCTTCTCATCTAAAATACGAAAAATATTATAAAATACATGTCTTAAACATATTAAGTTTGAACATTTAGGTTTAAAAAATCAGGTGGTAGTGCATGTAATGAATAATCATGAACTCATATGTGAGTGATCAAATCATCATATATATTAAAATTCTTAATACAAATCTTATAAGAAAGTAATAATAATACTAACCATATCGCAATAACTTTTTATAAATATTATATCTTCATTCAGTAACCTGAAATCAATATAACTAAATTAAATTTTTATTAATAATTATAATATATGTTTACTTAAAACGAATGATTCAGTTGGTAGTGCATGTAGTGAATAATCATGAACTCATATATGAGTGACAAAGTCATCATATATTAAAATTCTTAATACAAATCTTATAAAGAAGTAATAATAATACTAACCATATTGCAATAATCCTTTGTAAGTATTATATCTTCATTCAGTAACCTAAAATCAATATAACTAAATTAAATTTTTATTAATAATTATAATATATGTTTACTTAAAACGAATGATTCAGTTGGTAGTGCATGTAGTGAATAATCATGAACTCATATATGAGTGACAAAGTCATCATATATTAAAATTCTTAATACAAATCTTATAAAGAAGTAATAATAATACTAACCATATTGCAATAATCCTTTGTAAGTATTATATCTTCATTCAGTAACCTAAAATCAATATAACTAAATTAAATTTTTATTAATAATTATAATATATGTTTACTTAAAACGAATGATTCAGTTGGTAGTGCATGTAGTGAATAATCATGAACTCATATATGAGTGACAAAGTCATCATATATTAAAATTCTTAATACAAATCTTATAAAGAAGTAATAATAATACTAACCATATTGCAATAATCCTTTGTAAGTATTATATCTTCATTCAGTAACCTAAAATCAATATAACTAAATTAAATTTTTATTAATAATTATAATATATGTTTACTTAAAACGAATGATTCAGTTGGTAGTGCATGTAGTGAATAATCATGAACTCATATATGAGTGACAAAGTCATCATATATTAAAATTCTTAATACAAATTTTATAAAGATGTAATAATAATACTAACCATATTGCAATAACTCTTTGTAAGTATTATATCTTCATTCAATAATCTGAAATCAATATAACTAAATTAAATTTTTATTAACAATTACAATATTTGTTTACTTAAAACAAATGATTCAGTTGGTAGTACATGTATCAAATAATCATGGAATCTTACAAAGTGGTTAATGATTCATATATTATCATCTATTACTATATCATCTATTATCATATATTACTGCAAATAAGAATAAGAAAAAATACAGTACATACTACTTCATTCTTCCTTGATATTCTTTGATTAACCATTAGGAAGTTTCAATGATTCTCCTGGAAATAAATTATTACAAAGTTCAAAAATATTTATTTAGAATTTTCATAAATACAAAAAATTGACTGATTAAAATATCATTGCATAATAACGATGATTCATTATTACAGATGTTTTTAGATTACAAAATCTTGAAAGAAATGCAAATTTGTAAATAATAGGAAACATGTGCTGGACACTTACTTGTATTAATATTTGTAGAAGTTGAGAAAAAAAATGACATTCTAAAACTTTTACTTTACAACATTTTTATAATTTTCCATTAATTTTTCGACCGACTTATGTGGCCGCTCCACTTTTTAATAAATAACTTTCAAACCTCATTTTAAACATCTTTGTGAATCACCAGCGTGATTACCAGCAACGTTTAAAATGATCCAAAAGTATGAATGTCAAGTTTGAAGCTGAACATTTATTTTTTGCCGACTCTGGGTAAATTCTTATGTGTGCGATAATCTTAAACAGGGCTATTTGAAAACATATTTTTTATAATTATAGAATTATTATGAAAAAATTGGAAGTTTATGTAAATATTACAGAAATTATAACTGTATATTTATTCAACATTTATATCTCAGTTTCATTAATTCTAAATAATTTAAAGTTTTTATCCAATCAAAAATGAGTAGATTTTCTTGTACATTTATGGCAATGATACATACCTATCTAGTTGTTAGCAATTCATCTCACAAGCTACCGTGGTTACAAAGTTACAAGTGTCAGCCTTAAAAGTGAGAATTGTATGCCGTTCGATGAAGACATGGAGGTAACTAAAACATGTTTCAGCGTGATCTCAATAGAGTTGTAGCTTTCTTGTTAACTATCATTAATTAATACAAGAGCAACTATAACGACAAACAAGAGATTTAAATTTAAGAGATTGAAATCGCGCGTGACAACGACGTCGAGCAATGTTACTGATATTTCATGCTATTACAGTTGTCTTCGTATTCCAATTTACATATTTATCTTAAACATGACATAAATTAATCGATTGAAAGTAATGATGCATACTGGACGAATGATTTTTAAGAAACGTATTTATGAATAAATAAATCATTTTGATGATCAATCATAAGATTCGTGTGATGATTGTCAAAGTATTAGATGGTTTATCTTGGATACCGAAATTTCTTATCAACAAAATCCTGATTTATTGACACAGGCAAAAGGAAAATAAAAATGACGGAAAGTTTAATAAATGAATGGCTAGTAGATTGTGCAGATGTGTCATCGTCAGAGCTCCATACTTTTGCCACTACTTTATCACAAGACAATGAAATAGTCAGAGCGCTTTATGTACTCTTGGAAGAACGTAGTAAATATAGTCAGGTAATATATTTCTGACAAATATTTTTTATACCTTAATAGAATTTAATTAATTCCTTTGACATATATATTAAATCTTATAAAGTTTTTGTTAGTTTATTTTTAACTCTTTCGTGTCAAAGTTCAAGTATTGTCCGGCATTGTAATATTGGGCAGATCGATGCCCTCAGAAATTATGACCGAAAAGAGTTAATATTGAAATAAAACTCAAATAAAATGTCTTCTGTATAAAATTCTGTCTTTTATTTGAAAGTATATTAGATTATATTTTATTCATTTATACCAATATTTTTTTATTCATTGTAGTTAATGGATACAGTATGCGATCAGTTATATAATTTTTATCGCTCTCGAGAAACAGAATTGCAAAGGTTCACCTTGCAATTTTTGCCAACATTAGTATACATTTACTTGAATTCTGCAGCTCATGGTGACATTAAGGTAAGATACTATAATTGTTGGGAAACAATATTTAAACAACATACTTAAATCATGTTATATAACAGAACAACTATAATTTAAATCAAAATTATATGGTAAAATAGCACTGTCATTTCTTAATTATAGGACAGTTATATTCAAGTGAAATATGTACAAACTCCAATTTAAGTTAAAAGATATTATGATATCAGTAATTTAAAAATTTTTACACAACAGATATGTAAAAATATATTTGATCTCAATTTTCATTTAATATGTATCAACATTTTCATTCTTTAAATATTTTGTTAAATACATCTTATAAATATACAAAAGAATTATAATTGCTGTTTCTTAATACAAAAAGTAAATCATACGCATCCATTATCTCAAACTTTTAATTTGACATACTCTCAGTTAAGTTAATTCTCTTTTTACAGAATTGTCGGTCTGTAGAAACACTACTAATTGGTTTGTATAATCTAGAAATAGTGGATAAATCTGGGCAACAAAAAGCAATTTCTTTTAGACTACCTTCACTTGCCATGCTTTCCATATTTCATGAGGTATATCTGTTTCGCTAGACAATTGAATTTTATAAGTATGTAAATGTTATTCTAATTACTCCTTCTTGTACAGCCTGCAAGTTTGGCACCTGCTTCTTTAACTGAAAGTGCAGTACGCAGGTTTGAAGAATGTAATACGAAACTTGTTAGCTGGGGTCCACTGCAACAAGTTGAGACACTAAATGCTCAAAATAGATTAAAAGTTATGACTGCTCTTCTTTTTATCTATAATCAACAACTCGGTTATATAAGTAAATTTGCATTAGAGCAATTATGCAAAGTTGCTACCAAGTAAGATGAAATTAATTGTTTTTATATATTTGATAAATATATAATAATTATATCAAATCATTTATTGCAGACTTGTTACTCAAGGATTTATGAAGCCAGGACATCATCAACGATCCTCGTATGGAAGCGAGTCTAGTTTCGTTCCAAGACTTCTACCACGTATACCTGTATCAAGTCAATTTCTCCTTGAATTCTTGCATGCTGTATACTTTGCTATGTGAGTAACATATTTTTCAAATAGTAACTTGTCAAGTAAAGTAAATATCATATTAATAAAGAAAATATTTTACTAAAATTAATAGTAATAAAAAGTAACATATATTGGCAGGTATAATGACTGTTGGTATTTAGGAACACAAGCAGTAGATGATATTCATAATCGAGCATGTTATGAAACATATCCAGATGTTATGCTAGTCACAAATGCTATACGTAATTCTGCCAGTACTGGACCATCAGGTATGTCAATACAAGATAATCAATACAAAAATGTAAAATATGTTATACAAATATTTAATGATAATTAATCATTCTAGGACAACCTAATGACGGGCCAATTGGGATTAGTGTTGCATTATCGCCAGCTACTGCAACCGCTACGGTATCTAAATCGATGATCACAAATGCTTCGTTCCGGACCAAAAAGTTACCAGGTATATGTTTTATTTTAACTAAATCTTTATATCATCTGACAAATTAATATGCTCAGACATTTTATTTATGTTTATTTTTTTTAATGTCTTACGCACAATACGAGAACTATTTTTTATTAAATTAATTATAAATATCCAGCATGTCAGTTGTTGTATAGCAATTACTAATTAGTATGCACTGAAATAAATGAATAACATAATGATAAATGAATTTAAATAATAATAAATGAACTAAAAGTTTTTTAATCTAGACAATTTTTTTAAATAGAAGTTAAGAATCAAAGATAAACATATAGTATATAATATGAGATATTAATGTGTACATGGTGAAAAATGCATGAATATAATGAAGTATATGAATTTTATCATGAACAAATGGCATTTGATAGTAATTGTAGTTATCTTTCTAAATATATTTTAGTTTATAACTCTTATCCCTCATCACTCCAATGTTGTCGGTTGGAGTAGAACGTTGGTTTGCGATTGGCAGCATCGCTGATGGTTTGAGTGATAAGAGTTAAGTTAGAATAGATCAATATTTGCATTTAGTAGTATGGATGAGATTTTCAAAATTCACAGATAGAAAAATTTATTTCTTTATAAAAATTTAATTTTGCATGAAGTACATATTCCACAAATACATAGAACACATATTTAAACATTTGATCAGTAACAAATACATTTTATAAGTTATTGGACTAAGCAAATGTGCATTGCTTGCAAACATATGTCGTTAGACGATCTGGATGAGAAGTTATTTGAAGATGAGGTGTACGCTACCCAACTTGAAAAGCAACCACAACCAACAGTATCTAACACTACGAAGAGGTTCCCTTGGCATTGGAAGCATTCACTTCCGATTTCAAGCGAAGAAGATACCAAAATAAGAAAACTCAGTTCTTCCTCAATGGAATTCTCTAGACGAGGAAGCACATGTAGCAATCAAAATTCCCCTGTCAAATCCTCTCCTAAACGAAATTTAAGAGAACATTTGAAGAAAAATGTATTTGAGAAAGGTGAAGATCACAATATGAAAAAAGTGAGAAAAGAGCACAAAGAAAACACTAATTTAGCTCGTGACGAGAACAAAATTGGATCTAGTTCGCATTTGTATAATGTATTGGAGGAACAATTTCTGGGTGAAATGGTTCATGAATCAATGGAAAATTTGTATCTGGAAGGAAATAAATCAATTGGTTTTCATACGACTGCTGCCCTGTCAACAAATACATGGTACTAGTGATTCAGTTTCAGCACTTTAGAATCACTGAATATTATCAAAATTTCTCCAGCAAAACACGCGGCAAATTAGCTGTTACACTGTGTAACATTAACTATTTTAATTAGTAGCAGTTTGTGCATTTATCAATGAATTCGTTTCAGAGGATCCACCATTATTAAGAGCAAAAGAATTCAAGCCTAAAGTATTACTTACTTTATCGAAAGGCACATAATGGAAAACCTGCATGCAGTTTTGGCACATTTATTTTCATTGAAGATAGTGCATTTGTTATCACACAGGTTTACCCTATGTCTTTCCTATTTCCTATTCTGTCCTTAAATATTAATTTTTTAATATTTTTGTTTGTTTGCTACCCTTAATTTATAACATGCATGAAATATTTCATTCATGTTGTCATACATGTAAATTTTACGAATATAAATAATAGTACAAATATAAAGCTTAATACTTTTATTTTCTGCTTTACACAGATTGCTTAATTTCTTGCATTTTATTCTCACAGTATTTTAATGTATTTTTTAAAAATATGATCTTATTACGATTTTAATATTGTATTCTTATTTTTTCTTTTGTTCAGATGATATACCAATTCAAGAAACGAAGGAAGATTCTGGAGGGGAAGGTAAAAGTAATCTTGTATCAATCACAGAAGAAGAATCGATAGAACCAAATAGAGGTGGTTCAATAAGACAATCGAAAGATCAAAAGACTGCGTCCAAAATCACGAATTTCCCGGTACTTGGAAAAAAGCCGCGAGAAAAGGATGGTAAAATAGCTAAGAATGCTCACGTTAGCGTTCCTGAAAAGGAAAAAAGACTTGGATCTCAAGCGACTTCAAAGGAAAGTATTAAAGGTAGTTCCTCTATGTTAAATAGTGAATCAACAGAAATCGATGGAAATGTTAATGGGTGTTCAGTCAGGAAAAAGAATAATAGTGTAGAAAATAATTCAGTTACAGTAGACAATGTTTCTTTGATTGATGGCGAACGTCTTGCGTTAGGCGGAGAGATAGATAACACTAATATGGATACTTCTGTTACTTTAAGAACACATAATGAAAATGAATCGTTAACTTCGTCTATCCAAGTCAGTTCTGTTTAAGTTATACAGATAGATTTTTAGAATGGAAATGAAGAAAAGAGTAATGGACCATACATTGAATGACTGAAACAAATTGTTGTTGTAGTTTCTTATTTAATTGTACATACATATTCTTTCCTTATTTTTAAGAACATATACACAGTATATAATTGAATTAAATTATTGATTCTGTAACAGACCAAGATTTATTTAATATGCTATTGTATTTTGGAGCGAATATTATTGTACATAGTTGATTCAAAAGTGGTCCATTACTATATTGATCTCCATACTCTGTTTAAAAAAAAAGTTAATAAAATAGTAATGGGGAAGGGAATAATAAGTTCACACTAAATATTTTTCTTTGTATATTAAAGGATTCTGTTATAATCGTTCTTATAATATGTCTGTTAAACCATTCAATAGATTTATATTCGAATATTCTAGTATATGATTGTTTAAAGATTTTAATTATCAAAAAATTTAATAGACTCGTAGGAAAATGATTTAATATTTTAATTAATTCAAAATATCAAAGTGAAAGGGCAATATTTTAATTAATTCAGAATATTAGAATAAAAAGATTTATATCAATTTTTTCAGAATTATATTTATTAAATCAAATAGTGCTACTTTTTAATATAATATCTTTTATTTTGTCATTCTTCACTCAATTACTTAGGCCTTGGCTCCTTGGAAACCAGAAAGACACACAGATGGGCTAGTGTTATTTTTTAATAACTATATTATTTAATTCTATCATGTTTGTATATTTTCGTGGAAAAATGTAAGGCTAAATGGCTAATAATTTTATGAATGCTAATAATATTGTTCTGTATCCTACAGCAAAAAATAATGGAGATATCTTATAATTTCATTAAAAAAATTATTTGCAGTATCGAATATCGAGTATCGAATATTCTGTGAAAAGAATATAATATGACTGACTTATTCTTTGAGGCAGTAAAAATTGAATTTAGAGAAATCTTATAATTTTTCTAATAATCGTATTTTCTATAACATCTTTATGTCTATCTGTATAGAATTACGTGCAAATTACGTTTAAATAAAAATATGTTTTGCCATAAATTTTGAATGAACAAAATGTTTTTAACTCATTGCATCGTGTTTGTTCAAATAATTTATATAAATGTTTTTCCATAATTCTAATACTAAGAGTAATCTTACTTTGTAGTAAAAATGCTTTGAGAAAAATATTTGCAAGTAAATCTTCATGATTCTAACAGTATATAACAGTGTTTGTAAATATACATTGTGACAGAAAATATTTAAACCAAAGTATTTTTTCAAAATTGTTTATTGATTATCTCTTGTTTTAAATAACATAACAAAACTAATTTAAAATTTATAATTACTGAAAAAATACTAAGAGTCATAAAAATGTTCATAAATCTGAGTAATATGTGTTTAAAAGATCAAAACTTGGAATTGGTATTTACTTAAAAAGACTGTACATTGCATCACATTATTACTTAGTCTGATAAAAAAGTATACCATTATGATTTGTTAATCAATCAGAGTGTTCAGTATGGTATCATATGCATATTAATATCAAATAAAAAAAAAGACAGAAAGAAAAAAGGGAGATATATAATATACATTATATGAATGTATCCCCAAAGCAATCATTTAACTCTTGTGACACTTAAAAATTTTTTTAATAATCATAAATTCAGTCTATCAAATAATAAAAGGAGGCTGATTTATATTCTACTTCTTAAGAAAGATGGGACTTTGTATAGCATCATTACTTTCACAATTTATTTTTGGAATTCTATGATTTCTGAATTTATTTAGAACATAAACAGATTGAAATTTGCTATATTTTATTACAACTTTTAAATTGTTCCCTATTCCAGTGTATTATTGTTACGAATGTTATATTATAATTTTTCAATAAAAAAATATTTTATTTTTATTTCTTTTGTATTATTAAAAAATACTGTGCAAAATGCATGTGTTTGTGCTTTTTTTGAACATTGAAGATAATTAGTTCGGAGAACTTTTGTAACTAGTAAGATTTTAAAATGAAAATATCTGAACACTTTCTAATACTTATACATAGCATATTATGTGAAAAACAATTTAAGAAAAATAGTTCTTTATATTATTTGAAAGTTCTAAATTGATACCCATTGGAGAAACAAAAGCAGAAACCACAAGATTATAAATTAATTTATTTAAAGGGAGCCAGAATTTAGTTTTCTGTATCACTGCCATGTAGTGTAATTTAATCAATTAAATTGTATTAATAACTTAAGTTTATAAGTTTGGTTGATTATATACATTATTATACCTAAAATTACACGTCCCTATACATGCGCGTGTGACATATAAATGTTTAAACGAACAAGAAATAATATGAATTGTAAGTATTAAATAATATAAACTGTATAGGGAGGACATCTACACAGCAGATAAGTTAAAAGATTGTTAAATTTATTGAAATATTTGTACAAAAGATAAAAAGAAAGGGGAATTGGTGAATATATAAGAAATGTAAGATTTAATGTAAACTTTGGAGCCATTCGCTATTTGTTAAAGAATTGCTCTTTTCTGTACATTTGACAAATTTTCTTGGGCACTTAGTTCCATCATATATACATAGAGAAAACTCTTGTATACAAAAAGAAAGATATGTATATAATGTTTCATGACAACTATTAATGATACTCATAGAGCGATAAATAATAACCATAATATCTTGTATGTTTGTGCAAATTATGCAAAATTATGACAATTCATGTATATGCTGTTATAAATATTGTACATTATTTTAATTTATGATTATGATAGTGTTAAAGCTTGTTATATTGTTAAAGCTATCAATATGTAAATAATATATAAACTTATTGCACAGAGGAGATTTGATTGAGTTTATTGATGAAACATTCGATTTTCATTGCATGTCTAATATAAAGCCAACATTAACATTGGCATACTTTGTAAACATAAAACAAAACTAAAACAAAATGCACAAAATATATATTACTTTTCATAATGACGACATATTTTTATTATCAATATCAAAAGATAAAAGCATACTTTTCTTTTACTATTAAGTAAAAATTCAGTCATTTACAACTGTGCATTTTTGAAAACAGAATACATTCCAAACAATTTGAAATTGTTACATCACAGATATTAAATTAAAATTGTTAATATATTAAAACTATATAAATTGAAATTATTTTATTAAAATGTTCGTGCTTTGAAAATTATTTTAAATGTAAAGCCATGAGAATTGAGATATTTTTCAACTTATGAATTTTATAGATATAATGATGAGTTTTGTACATTGAATTTAAAATCAAGTATGTAACTTGTTCCATATATATACATATAATTCAATTTTATTATAAGTGTAAATAAAATAAAGATTTATTCTTTATTTATCTTTTTACGAGTATTGTGACTTGTAGAAAATCTACTTGTAACTATAAACTTATCGTCATAAATCTGTTGAAATTACTACTTGGCAATACACGCAATAAAACTATTAAAATAAGCTAATAGAAAAAAATTAAAGTATTTATATTAATTCTTGTATTAAAGCTGTATTGTTGTATTTTATATATTTATTCACATTAATTATTCTTTAGCACTTATTAAATGATGCAATAAAAATAACATTTAGATAAATAAATGCGCAATAAATTATACAGAAATGCTGTTAATATAATGTAATTAAATGAAATAAGATACACTGTGTTTTTAAATATATATTCCCTGATACATTTACAAGATATAACATGATTGTTATTCAATTGTCCACGTTTTCCATAAAGATTTTTCCTAATAATGCAGAAAAATTAATTATATATATATTGTATAATATGTGACATTCTAATAAAACTTACACTTGAAATTTCATTGTTGTATAAATCTTGGTAATTTTTTAAAAGTCCTGCAGTTTCATCTTCCAATTTCTTTATCACATTCTGAATCTTTTTTAGCTTTAAACAATCTTCATTGTGTTGGATTTGTGCTTTTTCTAAATTTTCTTTACATAACTTCTTATTACTGTAATTAAAAATCTTTTTTAAATCCAAACAAAGGAAGTAATCCTTTATTTAAAATAGCATAGGAAATTTTAACTCTAATTCACCTTAATAATTGAGTATTTAAATTACGTAAAGGAGAGAGACGTTCATCACACTGTGCTTGAAGTTCATTTATTTCATCTTCTTTATCATGATCCTTTTGAACTACTAATCTTTTCTCAGATTCTGAAACATCTGTTCTGAGAGTATCGACTTGTTTCTTTATAGTATCCTCTTGTACTTTTATTTTTCTGAAAATAGAAAATAGAAAAAAGCTGAGAGTGCAATAAATTAATACTTAAGGAATTCTTAATCAAGATTAAAGAAAAATTATTTAATCACTTTAATCGATCGTGTATATCTCGAACTTCAGTGAACTTTTCCAATAGTTCTTGGATAAAAGCCAATTCATTTTTTTGTTGTTCAATCAAACATTTTTTATCCTGGAATGCTGCCTGTATTGTTTCACGTTCCTTGACTTTGGCACTTAGCTGTTGTTCTAATTCACTTAAACGCTTTTGATATTCTTCAGGAGATTTTACAATTTCTGATTGCAATTCTGTTATTGTTTTATTTGACTATAATTATATATCGTAATCATTATGTAACATAATACATACAAATAATTTCAATTTTCAGATGTTAATTTACCTTTAATGCCTGTGCTTTATAAGTTCCACAAAGTTCCACTGTCTTTTGCTTTTCCTCTTCTGCAGCTGTTATCTTTGCCGCTAATTCAATTTGTTTTTTATTGTTCTTCTCACGTTTAGACTGTAGCTTTTGAATTTCAGCAATAAGCTAAAGAAGAATAGATCAATATAATATAAATAATTTATAATATAAATACAAACTGAATTTACCAATAATAGTACCTTTTCCTTTATTGATAGTTGTTTTGATATATGCAATGCCTTGTCATTTATAGCTTGTAATATTTCATTTTTCTTTTCCACCATATCGTGTAAGATCTTTGCCCGGTTCTGAATTTCAATAACTTTATCTTCTATATCTGATTCTTTATTAGTTGCGTACAATATGAAATTTGCAAGAAATTTTGCTTGTTTCCGTACTCTTTTTGATCCTGAACAATACAATCATTTTTCATCAAAGTGACAAATATTATTTATAACATTTTAAGTTTATAATTAAATACTACCTGGACTGGTAATATCTGTAATACACAGATCTTTTAAATATATTCTATCACATATTTGAACCATAACAACATGCAAATTTATGAGTGCAATTATACTAGAGTCTTCACAGTATGACATTATGTCCCGTTGTTCTATTGTTGCCTATAGTAAAATTAAATTTGGTGTATTGTACTTTGTATTGTATTTTTTTGTATAATTATATTTGTATTTGAATAACAAATAATATATTTCTTACATTATCAATTGCATTAACATCAATATGAAACCTTCTTAGAAACGTTTCAATTAGGTTTACAATAAATTCTTCTGTCGGATTTTTTAAATCATTTATGCTTGACGGAAGATTAGCTTCAGTTAAAATACTATGAATCTTTTCTATATCTAAATCCATGTTTCGTATTCAAAGATTTTTCGTACTTACAATACGAATTGTTCTTGCTTTACCTTTATAAGACAGTTACAGATAGTTTAATTTCAAACATGTTCGAATTTATTTATAACACATGCGCAAATGATGTCCAACTATTCCTTATAGCAAGTTTTCAATTGAAATTTTCATATCAGTCTCCTAATATCTACTTGTATTTATTAAATATATAAGTTCATAAATTAACATATATCAAATTAAGATCTATAACTAATTTTCTATAAAATTTTTCATGTAAATGCATTAAATGCGTCTTTCATATTTTAGAAAATGAATTTATTTAAAATACTATACATATATATATATATATATATTATGTGTAATACTCAAAAATAAATTTATCAATATTACACGCGAAATGTTATTTGCCATGATTTATACATGAAAAGAAATATTAGACAAAATTTAAGTCCTATTAACAATTTAAATGTCATTACAAAATTCAATATTATATTTCAATGTACATATTTATAAAATTATAATGATAATATTATAGGATTGTTATGACTTCATTAAATTAGCCAAGTTAACTAATTTAGTCACAAATTATTTACAATCAGTAAACACTTCTCTTTTTATAAAAGAAATGACATATATGTATATTGTTAAATTGGTAACACTGAATCGTAAGCATATAGCATAGCAGAACCTCTACATATGATAGGCTACGTCACCAACGAATTTGTACATAGATTTTGTGTTACATATTTTTCTATTTCCGTGATTAATTCTTAGACAACAATCATTTTAATGCTTTGTATTCTTTTAAACCAAGTGACTTAAGAAGTTTCCTCTTTAAAAATGGGATCTTCTCATAGTATCGAAATACCAGGAGGTGGCACAGAAGGTTACCATGTATTGAGGGTAAGAACATTTGTTGAAATAGTGTAGTTTATTTTATATATTCATACTTTTTTATTTATCAAAATAAATCTTAAACTTTCAGTAATTAATATTTTGATATATATTATAAATTTACTATAGTTTAAGAAAAAATTTATTAAGTAATTTCATCACATATTAGATTATCTAAAAATTGGAAGTTTCAAGTTATTTTTCAATAAATGTAGCTATCTTTTTGTTAGATATTTAGTAAATTTGATTCGAACGTCATGACTGAAATAGGTACAGGAAGGTTCTCCAGGTCAGAAAGCTGGACTGGAAGCATTCTTTGACTTTATTGTATCTATTGGAAATACACGCTTGGTATGTGTTCCATGATACCTATTGATACTTTATATCAATAGAATTTATTAAATTTATATAATGTTTAAATTAAAAGAATAATTTATTCTTACAGGATCAAGATAATGATACATTAAAGGAGCTTCTCAAAAATGGCGTAGATAAAAAACTAACACTTACAGTATACAGCAGTAAAACACAATCTGTAAGACAAACTGTTATAGTACCTAGTCTCACATGGGGTGGACAGGGTCTCCTTGGTGTTAGTGTAAGGTTTTGTTCTTTTGAAGGTTCCAATGAAAATGTTTGGCATATTCTTGTAAGTATAACCACAATTAAGTTAGAAAAAGTTAAAAAGTACATAAGAAGACAAATTTTTTGAATTATGTTTTATAGGAAGTGCATCCATCTTCTCCAGCTGAATTAGCAGGTCTACGTCCATTCACAGATTATATTATTGGTGCTGATTCAGTTTTACACGAGTCTGAGGATATATTTACTTTAATAGAAGCACATGAATCACGACCTTTGAAATTGTACATATATAACACACAAGATGATTCTTGTAGAGAAGTTACAATTACACCCAATCATACTTGGGGTGGAGAAGGAAGGTAAATTTGTTAACCTAACATTAGTATTTCAAAATATTACTGTAATTCATATCTTACGAATATTTCTTACACTTTTATAGTTTGGGTTGTGGAATTGGTTATGGATATCTGCACAGAATACCCATTAGAAATATTCAAGAGCATAAATCAAATAATTCGTATACAGTATGTACCAATTTGAAATGTCACAAGAAATTTATCAAAATATTGTAACTAAGTTCTATTTCTTCCTTTTGTAGTCTCATGTTAAAGCTACTAATCCAAATCCAGTTACATCAAGCATTACTCACACAGAAGGAAGTAATGTGATTATAAACATACCACCAGGTTTCTCTATTCCACCGAATTACATGTCAGCACAAGAAAATGTTACAAAATCCGAAGTTGAAACTACTTCTACTACAATGGTGCAAAATATATACACATCAAGTGTACAAACATATACTATGCCTCAATTGAATCCTGCTGCTATTGGAGGATCTACTACTACTAATTCTGTGTCTCATGTTATGCCTAATCAAACTGTTGTAAATACGACATGTAGTAAGTATCCATAAATTATTATTAACTTTCAAATAAGTAAATATAATGACATTATTTTTATTCAGATAATGATCCTATCATGCCATCGTCACATCAAAATACAATGCCGAATATACCTGGTATGCCAACTACTCCACCTTTGCCAACTTTTACTACTAATGCGACAGTTTTAAGCGAATCAACTGGTGTTGTCGGTACGCCGAAAGATTTCACAACTGTACAGAGTGATATATCACCACCAGTACAGTTTAATGTGCCTCAATCTCATGTAGTAACGACGCCCATATCGTTACCCGGGATGCCACCTATTACCGTTAGTGCAAGTCTACCACAAAATTCTTCTTTCTATTCATCTGTTCTCCAGCAAAATGAATTGAGTGGTGTTAGTACAACCCCTACATTTACGGTGCCACCAACAACAACGCAGTAACGATTATGTTATTTCTAATGAAAAAAATATCTGTTTTATAATAAAGTAAATATTGAAGAATAAAGGTAAAATAAAGAGCGTAATGTATCTATTACAAATATATGTATTACTATACTTTATGCATTTATACTTTATTATTTGTTTAAACGTAATGTATACAAATTTTCAGACATGCAGGGATAAATTATGTAATTCTGTACATAGATAAGGAATATTGACTACTTAAACTAAAGTCAAATTAAAACATTTGAAAAAGTATTAAATCTTAACATATTACTTGATCTGTTTCTTCTTATATTTTGTCGTTGATACTTATGTATAATGATAAATATTATTTTTTAATCATTAAACTTTATATATATGTAATGTATGTGCAGACTAAAAGTTTGAATTTGTTATTAAATAAAGGAATAAAACATTTACATATTAATGAAATGGATTTTATTTAAGATTCAGAAATTAATAGTGATTTAAATTTCAGCAATTATTTTTAACAATGTTGACAGCACAATAAATGCAAATATATCTTTCTCAAAATACAAATTGTGTGTCTGCTAATAAACATTAAGTTTGGAAAATGTTTATACAGCAAAATCAAAACTATCATTTTGAACAAGAATCATTTATTAAATATTGTACAAATTGATCTTGTATCAACTGTTATTGTGTAAATATCAAATTAACAAATTTTATTTTAATAATTAAAACTGCTAGTGTTCTTCTTAGAATTTCTTCTCTACAATTTTGATATTGTTTAAATAATTATTTCAACATCAATCAATTCCTCTTCACTTGGGAGCTTGATTTTTGATGGATCTATTAAATTTGGATCAATTGGTGGTAAACCATGTTCTTCTCTGTAACGAAGTTGCAAATATGCTTCTCGTTGAGCCCAATCTTGCAAAAATGGGTCTGGTGCATAACCAATTATAAGAGCACCAAACACCAAGGACACGGATACAGATATAAAGAATGTTACATGCATGATTTGGCTATCAGTTTTCTGATCTTCGTCACAAAATCCATAACTGGCCCATGTTTTTTTTACCTCATACGTACTTTCTTTTTCAGAATTCTTAACTGATACATCACTTCGGTGTATTCTGTTACATATATTGTTTTCTTTCGGCCTTAGAAACGTCAATCCGCTCTTAATTCCTTGAGAACGGATGAATCGTAGTAAAGTTGACATCTTTCTTTAATGAGAACTTATTTTTTCTAACAAAATACCGTTCTTCTATATATTCGTTAGTTTATTATGAGATAGTTGCCAATATATCGTAACAATTTCAGGAACCAAAATTAGATACTCGCGTACATGTATGTACAAGACGACGACCAACTTTCAAGGTTAGAAATTGACCTAACCTAACATTCAGAGGAACATGTAATACGGCGCCTTGATTTTAAATTTGAAAAAGGTAATCATCAATTTGATGATTACGGGTTGAAGAGGATAGATTTTGTAAATAAATTAGAAAAGTATTAATATCCGAAAAGAATATAATAAACTATGATAAATATTCAGGATTATATTTAAAATTAAAAATAATATTAGCTTCACACATATTTACTCTGTAGATTTTCAAATCTAGTAACTTATCATGCTTTTACTTTTTAAGGAATATTTTTACATTGATGACAAAATTTATGGAATAGAAATTTATTTCAATTCATGATACAATTATTTATTTTGTACAGTATTTTCCTTATCATATGTGTTTTTATGCTCGTTATGGATCACAGATTGATATATCTCTTGCCATAAAAGATTATTCAAATCTTTTGTATTTTCTTCATTTGAATAAGAAAAGTGATGGATATACACTCCTTTATATATATCTAATATTATTATTAAGGATATAGTTTTATATATATAGAATGCATCAGTAAAAACTATCACCTGAAATAAGTCATTATTTATTGACTTTATCAAAAAATCTATAAAGTGAAATTTATTATATTTCAGGAGTCTAACCAGAAGATTACATTTTGATTTTCCAATACCTTATACTATCTGAGATATTAAGATAACTTTGACATAACATTTAATCGATCCAGCTAAACATTTTCTATAAGTTTAGCAGATATTTTAACTTTAATTTATCAAATTTAATGTATGAAGCAAAAATAAATAATAATGAATGATGCAAAACATGTTTACATTGCCTTTGTCTTTCATGCATTAAATTTTACAAATTAAAGTTCGAATATCTGCTCAACTAAAATTTTTTCGATATAAATAGATTAATACTTTTTTATAGGGAATGCCAAAATACATCGATTATTGTATTTAAAACTGTATGATCCCATTTAAAAAAATGGATACCATCCTCATATAACCTCCACTTGACCATCGCCAAAATACTAATTATACCAGATTATATCCTTTAAAACTACACACTTCTTGTCTGAACCATTTTTTCATATAATAAAACTATATACTTTTCATACTATATATATATACACACACACATGTGTGTGAAATGCTAAATTTTGTTTAAATTACAGGAATTTTATAAGTTAAAAGGATACTTCCTGTAATATTCTCTTTAAGCTTTCCAAAATCCCATCGTATTCCAGTTAATTCTCTATATAATGCATATTTTCTTCTGTAATTACAAAAAAAAAGAACAAAAAAATAAAATCTTATTAGTATTAAGGCATAATACAAGCATGAATGAGCATAGTAAAATATTAATAAATCATAATCAGATACAAACCTTCCTTGATCTAGTAATTCTTGATCCTGTATGTTTCGTTTACATGTTTTAAGTTTATTTCTTTGCAATTCCAATTGTTGACATTCTTCCAAAAATTTATTTTTCTCTGCATCCAACTCTGTCTTTAAAAAGTATTAAATTTTTATTTCTGCTGTATTATTTTATAACAATGTAATATACAAAAATAACAAACAATTACTATGTGGTCTAAGTGCTTAGATAAAACATGATTTTTATATTCCAATGTTTGTTTTTCAGACTGAAGGGTATCCCTCATAGAAGTTATTTTTGATGTTAAATCTGTGATCTTTATTCCATCTTCTGAAAAAGAAAATACCTTTATTTGTACACAAAAAGTACGATACAAATAATATAATAAATTACCGCTAAAGTCTTGATTTCGTTTATTTTTGATATGATCGATTAACTTGATCTGATTCTGCAGTAAATCCTTAACTTGTAAATCCGAAATTTTTATATGATTTTCCTTAAGCGTCATTATTTCATTCATTATTACATTTACATTAATGTCACTGTTAAAACATTTGATAAAAATGAGAAAACTATAAACACAAATTTATAATGTCAGTTATCTTCAGTTACAAATTTTGAAACGTCACTATGTATTACTGCCAATAGTACTATCAAAATATCCCAAAGTCGCCTCAAAGCGAGTTAGGGATTTTAATCAATATGCCACGATCACGCTGCGATAAACAAAATTACGATTAAGAAAAAGGATAAGATTATATACAGGGTGTAATTTTAATTGATCCATGCAAATATCTCTTAAACTGTACATTATTCGGAAAAGTATTTCAAGTAATACTTGTGCTCTTTCAAAGAAAATATCTTATGATGACAGTGAAGGTGTTCTCGAGATGTCAAGGAAATCTGTTTTTTTTTAATGGAACTATATGTTTTCATTTAGCCATGTTTATAGACCATGGGTCGAATTTATTGACCTATAAAATGTTGGTTTTTAGAAGTCATTCGGGTTCGCTCATTCCCATTTAAAGCTTATCTTCGTCAAATATGTATAGAATTTGTTCTCTATGTCTTATATTTGAAAGGGCAGCTTTGTACATCGATGCAATAAGCTATTCTCTTCATAAACAACAGTTCTCCACCTTCTGAAAAGTTGCAGAACTAATTTGTTGGCAGGCATTCTTTGTTCGAATTTTTACATTAAATTTTTAGGAGTGGTTCCTGTCAATAAACTTGTTCCCTTGTGAAACCTTACAAAGAGAGATTTAAAGGGGTTAGATCTGGAGATCTTGATGAGAAGAGAATTTTACTTTCTTTTCCAGAAACGTGTTATTCACAGTTATACAAACTCGGCGATCATTATGTATAGGAGCACCATCATATTAAAACCATATCCTGGTAGCGTATGGAACGTTTTCAAGAGGATTTTGTAATTTGTTAGTTAAGAAAGTATTGTATCGGACTTCAGTTAATGTTCCATTAAATAATTTAAATTCATTAAGTGACCTTTCACTATGCCGTACCATACATTTAACGATCATTGGCGTCGACGATCAACCGATCTCTGCCAGTGTGGAGGTTTCATCGACCCAATAATTGCTGCTATATCTATTCAATAGTCCACTATTCTTGAACGTGGTTTCGTCCAGATGTATAACATGTGACATGCCATGATTGGTTTTTACAATATTTGCCGACTGATATGAGAATTTAAAGAAATTACTGCGAGTACTGCTTCTGTCATGACTGCTGTCTACGACGTTATCGTTGCAAATTTCCTCCCCTAGCACGGCGATCAGGAAATCTTTCTCGACGCAACCATGCATTTGCCTTATAATCTTTCTGACACTCTCCTGGAATCGAAATCATGCCAACAATTTCGCTAGGCGTATAATTACTCATCACAAACTGAATTATTATCGAAATGAAGGATGTGTGATGCTATAATAATACTAATCCCTTCGAAGCAAATACTGTGAAATAGTAATTCTAGTAGGCGAGACGCACCACTTGTGTGAGTGACGCGTCGTGTTTACGACTGATTATTACGACGAGGAAAATGTTCTAGTCGTATGCAGAGCAGGTTTAGAACAGCTGTAAATGGCTTTGAATAATCTTTAAAAATTAATGTTTTATAAGTCAATAAATTCATCTCGAAGTGAGCTAAAAACGTGGTTAAATGAAAATATAGAGTTGCACTTAAAAAAATAAAGATCACCTTCACATCCTGAAACATCTCTGGTTAGATAAACCTGATGGTCATCATAGAACATTCCCTCGAAACAGGATAAATTTTATTAATAATGTGAAGTTTAGGAGATACTTATGAAGATGGATTAAAATGAGAAATGCTTTATATAAAATGTTTATATACAATAAATTTTTAATTAATTTTTTAATTAGTTAAAAAAAAATATTTGTTTAACTTCATTAGAGAATTTTTAGGACTAAAATCAAAATTTCCTTTTTACATCAAATCTTCATTTAATGACATATATGCTAGTCATTTATAACAATAAATGTCTTACTATAATAAAAGTGTACTAAACATTAGTGATTATATTTAAGATTTAGATGTAGTTCATTTATGATATTGTAACTTATAATGGCACATAAAAAGAAAATATCATGTAAAATAAAGTACAATGTAGGGATACCTAATTATATAGGTATCATTGATATTTTTAGGTATCATTGATATTGATAGGTATCATGATATTTTAATAACATCTATATTGTCTAAATGTATAATGTGTATTATATTCTTGAAACATAATATGTTCATAGACATTTTTGTCTCAAAGAAATTTTGCTTTTTTAAAAATCAGTTACGTCTAAATCACATAAAGAATTTCTTTTTAAATTCTTACTCAAATATAATTTCTCGAAACATTAATACATTAATACATTATAAATACTGTAGGTTGACAAAAATTATTTACGAACTTAGTACTTTTTTGTCTAACATTTGCGTCCATTATGTGTCGCAAGATATTGAGCAGTTTATAAATGTCAAAATAGTTTATTGTTATATAATTATCATGCATATTAATTATAAAAGTAAAAATCTAAACGTTCTTGTATGTTATTATAAGAAAATATCAAGAACCCATTATATAATATTTAAAAATATACATATAAAACGTTCTTAAGTAGTGATCAACATCAAATTGGAATAATTTATAATCATAAATAATGTTTATTCGTTTGTTTTGTTTCAAACGTTTTTATCTACTGAATTTAAAAGTTAAATCTTACTGTTAAATTGTAAATCAATAAAATTGAAAGTGTACATCTTACAAAAGTAACAAAAGAGAAAGAAAGATAAAATACTAGTGGCCATAATGTTGATGTGATTCATATTATGTGGAGAATGTAAACTCATTTTAAATTCAGATAGAAAAAAAAGCGAAATTTTACTTTGTAAACATTTTGAATTGTGTTTAAAGAACAGAGATAAGATTATAATTTTCGATATAATATATGTAATTAAATAACAAATTTTAGTAGTTAGCTATGTGTTGACTAGAATTGACCTTCTTTTAATTGATAATCTTAAAATTCAATTATGGTTTTCTCAAGTGTGAACTACATATCACTAAAATATTATGGCCCATATAATGAATATATAACAAGATAAGTTTTACATATACGTTTGCATATTAAAATGTAATCTTTTATCATTTATCTAATTTTTAACGTCAAGATACTATGTCACTTCATTCGTAAAAGGCACTTGCTTAACATATTTAATCACAATTTTTTGAGATCAACAATCGTCATTCAATAGATTCACGTTCATAGATATTTTTTGAGAAATCAAAATGTTTGATATCCGTATATTTTCTCTATTGTTTTGAGCATTACTTGATTCTGATGTTGAACCATTATTATTATTGTTATTATTATTTTCTTGAGTCGAGTCGTTAGATGAAGAAGGATTATTTGCTTGAACTAAAATTGTGTTCAAACTATTATCCGCTTGTTCGATTTCATATCCTGCTAAATTTCCATTTGTAACTTCATGTGCTAGTCGCCTATAAAAACATGATTATGGTTATATAACAAAAAACAAAAATGTTCTGTTCTGAAACACTAAATATCTACTTACTCTAGCATCAAATTATTAGATCGATTATCAGTTGGTTCAGACACAGGATGTTGTTGTCCTATTGCATCTATGTTATCATTACTCATATCATATTCATAATTAGAATTCGTACGAACCCAACTCGGAGGTACGAAACCTACTGCACGCACAAGATCATTCTTATCCTTCAAAATTTTATTATTGTTGAATGGTACAGGAGATGACGCTTCTTTGCATCTAATGAAAGGACCTGTAAAATATTAAGTTATGAAGGAATTATATTAAACATCATATTAACATTTTCGATGTAATATACATAATTCTATACATATTATTACCGCGTTGAACAGCCCGCAGTTAATTCAGCGTTCAAGTAGGTAGGTATACTGTAATGAAATAATTGTGTTTTTCGTATAAAAAATTAACCGTTTTAATCACGGTTAGTAACTTCAAACATATAAGAAAATGTTAAAAATTAAGACAAAGAAGCTACAATCTACAGTGCTCGTGTATCTTTATTTACAATTGTTTGTGTTTGTAACAAGTGTTTATTTTAATAGAAATATCGATTGCAGAAAAGAATACGTAAAACAGAGTAGCTTTGAACGAACAAATGAATAAGATCATAGAATAAGCTTCTAATCTACCTACTTATTAGTAGCAAATAATCGCCGCGTCTTCGTGTTATTTAAAATGGATTTTTTTTAGTGCTGCACTAATTAATGTGAATGTGTACTTTAGTACTAACGGTGTTTGTAACAATCTGTATTACTCACTATTTTCCAATGGCGGGGCAGTCGGTTCCATCACGCCAAGTTCATCGTGCGGTTTTACCATATTTCTTTGCCGCTTTGATCTTCCTAGAAAACATTTTATACAATTGCATTTTGAAATTTATTTTCCAAATAATTTTATGTATTATATGCTTTTAACATATTTGTAAATATTTAGGATCTGTTACTTACGTCTTATGAAAAGAAATATACCAAAAACAACTATTATACCAAATAGGAATGTTCCAATTACTGAGTAGATAATCATAGTGTTGTCCAGTTTTACTACTTCAGTATAAAACAAAGGAAAATTAGTACACAAAAATTATGATAGCAAGTACAATTTTTATTGAGTTAATTTTTCCTTTACTTACCGGGTATATCTTGTTGAGCGTTAGTTTTTCTACAAAATAATGCCATTTCTCCTGTACCAAGTTTTTCGGCGTTGTAGCTGTAATTATATCAGGGTTAATAAATATCAAATAAATCGTAGTCATGTATGAATATTTGGCAAGAAAATTAAAAAATGAACCACAGAAAAAGATAAATGAATAGTAAAATATATATATACCCACCCAGTCAGGCAGGGGCCGCATTGAGAGGGATCCCGTGATTTTTTTTCATGATTTTCCAGTCTATTATACCTGTTACATTGGGTATAATCAACGCACCGTTCCGATACATGATAGCAGTATTGTTTATCGGAACAGTCACCATCATCACGACAAAATCTTTCCTCTATCGTAGCCTATAAAAAAATTGATTTTCAAAATTTTATTTCCATATTATTAGTTTGTCCGAAAAATTTCTTTCATTTTATAAGAAAATAATAGACGCACAATGTTTTTTGTTTTATATTAGTTTATTGAATTATGTACGAACATAATAATAGAAATATAACGAAATAGATCATACCTAATTCAACAAAATAATATAAAACAGAAATTGTTGTTCATATATTATCATCTTATGAAACAAAAGAAACTTTTCGGACAACCTAATAATTATAATTATAATATCAGTTATATTTCAAAAGATATTACTTTGAAAAATAAAGTTATTATTGTAGTAGACACAAAACTTAACTACAATATTTTTTATAAGGAGTCTTATAAGAAATTAACTATCTTTCTAACAAAAGAATTTTATATTAATAAATTTGCAATTACCTATGACAGATCGAT